TTATTTCTTTGGGGACAACTATGATTCAAAAAAACCATCAATTCGTTATTTAATTAATTGCATATATAAACAATTTACTTCAATATAGGTTTAAGGAAAAAAATGTAAAAACGAATAGAACAAAATTTCCAGCCTAATCAATTTCAATTTTCAACATTTTATGCACTTGATGGAAATATAAAACTAGATATTTAAAATTATAATAAATGTTTGTTAAACAAGTAATAATTCGTAAATCTTTTTTCTTTTTTGATTTCAATTTCAAACATTCATGTATCACATGAAATAATGAAATCAAATATTTAAAATTCTGATAATAAAAAGTATTTAGATTTGCTCGTTGTTTTTTTTTAATGAAAGATTTAATTTTAATCTTTAATCGGTGAACTTTAATGCAAAACATTAATACTAACTCAAATTATTCAATTCATTTCGTTTGAATTGAAAAACAAAGCTATGTTTTTTGAGGGAATCGTAATGATAAACGATGATTAATTAATTTGAAGAAAAAAAAAAAGAACGATGAAGAAGAAAAAAGAGGAAAAAACATTCTTTCATTTTACTTTATTTTTTGGTTTTTCTTTTTTTCCCCTCCCACAATATGTTGTTAACCTAACTTATTTTTCTCTTTTCTTTTCTCTTTGCTCTTAAAGATTTTGTAAAAGCAATTTTTTTTTTGAGGGATATATTGAAATTTAAAATGGAAAAAAATTTTATCGCTTTTTTTTATTTAAATTTTTTCCAAATTACTAATTGGTATTCGTGCCTATTTTAGCTGTAAAAGAAATTTTAACAAATCATTTTATATCATCATTTGCAATCATCGATCCCTAGTTTACCCGATCTGATGCAATTTTGCATAAGGTATATATAGATTAGTCGCTGTGATATGGCGCGCAAAATATCGACATCTCTGGTAATGCGACCAAAATATATGTCAACTATTAAACCATATATTATCATCATCTACGATTCTATGATAATTGATTATCGTTTGTTAGAGTAAGACAAAAATATAAATTTTTTACTTATTGCATATGTAATTAATTATTTAGATATTAATAATAGTTGTGTGATTTTGAATGTTATCATGTGATAATTATATAATTGATTTTATGTTTGTTGTTCAGAATATATTGGATAATTGGAAAATATTATTTTTAATTTAATTAAATTTTTAAATTTAATCATTATAATGCAAGGAAAAAAACAAAATTTTGAGAATTTATTTGATTTGTAGTAATGAAGTATAATAATATTTCTCATTTTTCTCATTCCCCTTTTTTTTTTTGTTTGAATTATCTTCCTAGTAAAAATACTTAAATAACAAAATGTTAAGTAACAAACTTTATTTAATTAATTTTTATTGGAACAATAAAAAACTTTGCATCAAATTTTTGTTCCTATTATAAATTTTTGAATTAATGTCTTTTTTGTGATAAGAAGGAATTTTTTTCTTTTGCATTCGAATTATTGTTTTTGAATATATAAAATATGATTAATTCATTGTCACTCTATTTTTATCACAAAAAAAAAAACAAGAAACAAAAAACTTCAAGTACACGGACACATTCTGCTTATTTATAATCAGTGAGAAATTTTTAGCTGATTTTTGTTTTTCTTTTTTGACATTTCCACAAATTTATCACATTTTAATTTTTTCATAATTTCCCAAGAACTATTATGTCATTGGCCTAAATTTAGCGGCTTACATCTACATTTATGTCCCATAATTGTAATTAATGGTCCACTAAACTTGAATACTTCAAAGTTTTATAATTATAGTGCCATTTACTATATGATAGAATTATGAAATTAATCTAACATGCTATTTATAATGTTTTAGAGTATTATAATTATCGTGATATGTTCATATGATAGGTGTTCCATAATTGTAATTAATAGTATACCAAAATTTAGCTTATATAAAAGTTTAGAAAAATATGAATTCAACATAACGACTTATTTTTAAAACTTTCTAAGCTTTGTGATTTACAGTATTATAATTTTTAAAGCATAATAATTTAAATTTTCTAGTTGAATATCCGGTATTTTAACTTCTTTCTTTTATGCAAAAAATTTAGCCATCCATCGATTAAACTGATCAAACAAATTAAACTGATCCATTGAATCTATCGTAAATCATGTAGTTCATAAATTTTACAATTTCGAAATGTGTTTTAATATTAAACGTTCAAAATTCAACAATGTCATTATTATTTATAATTATTCGACAATATTAATTAGCACTTCATTTTTATCAACATTTATCTTTATTTTTATTTCATTTCTTTTTCTGTCGTCATCCAACCATTTATTTACTTACAATGCATTCCTTTGCATTCTTAAGCATTTCATTCCAATTAATTCATAATGGTCTTATCAATGTCATAACCACATTTCTATGATAATCATTCGATTTAATTTCATCATATAACAATAGTAAAATGAAAGAAGTGGTTATCACTTATCATCAAACTATTTATTTTTTATCAATTCATTCATTCATTCATTCATTGTTGTGAACATTTTGTGTAAAAATCTTTCTTTTTCCTTTTTTCCTTTTTTTTGAAATTACAAAGACTCTTTCATTTTAAAAATTTGAAAATAGAAATTGATATGTTTGATAATTGCAAAATGTTTGCAAAAAAAGGAAAAAAAATTCTTTTCACAAAAATATTTTCAAAATTTAGAAAAGAAAAAGAAAAAAAAATGTCATTTTGAACATTGTTTATTATTGCTAATAACATTAAAATGTTATCATACGATTGATAAAAAAAGAAAGAATTTCTGCATTTTCTTTTGTGTTTTTATTTTTGATTTATTTTTAGAAAAAATTAATCCAACAAATAATTTTAATTTGAATAATATCCATGCAGCGATTTAATCGATTAATTGATTTGCTGACATTTTAAATTTAGTATATGAATCCTAGTTATCAACATTTATTTATTACTGATATCGATAAAATCATTATTGGCAAAATAAATAAGTAAAGGTTACCTAAATGTTAATTATACAGTTTTATAATTATGATTTCAATAGGCAAAAAAAAGAAATTTCACATACCAAAAAAATAGATCAGTGATTGATAAATTGACGAATTAAAACAGTCTTAGTTTGGTAAAAATTTTCAATTTTTTTACTTTGTTTAATTTATTCAATTTCAAATGATTTAAATGGTGCTAAAATATTATTTAAATATTCTAAATAATTTCGAAAATTTTCACTCTTTTGTTCTTATGTATTTATATTTTTGTATTTCAAATTGTAAAACGAGCATATTAGCTTCGCTCAAAAAGTATTTGTTACAATGTAATGCCAAATTAAATTGTACTTTCTCAAAAAAAAAAGTTCTCCAAAATACTTTATTACTTTTTCTCTCTTTTCCTAACTTTTTGTTCTTTCATTTTTACTAATTTCTTTTTTTCTATTCAAATCATAGGAAAAAAGAATTGATTTGAACATTAATGAATTCATTTCAAATGAATGCAAGTTTGTCATCAATTGAAATAACACTTTTTTCTGTCCTTTTGAAATGTGTTCATTGGTTGACAATGCAAAAATTTCAATGCTTATTTTCCAAATATTTCTTGAAAATTATCAAAACTGGAAATTTTTTAATATCAAATAAATAATTTTTCCCCCAAAAATAAGTGGAAAAAAATTTCATTAAAATTTGATGATTACTGATGCATATATATGTATATAGGATACATATTTGTGGTAAATATTTTTTGAAATTTAAAATGTTTTATATTTCTTTTCTCCAATTCCTCTCACTTATTTCAAACTTGATATTTTGGTAGTTAATTTGAAAAGTTGTTTAATTTAAAACTAGTCCTCTAGCTGGTCAAAAGAAAAGTTCCATAAGTGCGAATTTTTAATCATTATTGGATTACTTGGTTTTTGTATTAAATTATTGATAAAAAACTTTTGTATTAAAATTACAAAAAGGGTTTTTGCATTGAAATTATTTTGCATTAAAGTTATTAAATTAAATCAATTTTTACAATAAATCTTCTACAAATTGTCAAGGTTGTGTCGAAAATTTGGTGGAATAATAACTTTGATAATAATCAAATTTGGGAATTGAATGCGAATACCAAGATGATAGGTAATAAGATAAAATACAAATAGAAAAGAAATTTATAGATATATCAGAAAAGTAAAATATAATTATGATTTTACTAGACCTAAAAATTAATTGCATAATTAACTGCTCGATGGATGAGTCGATTTTATTTTATAGCAAATCAAAAAAAGGCAAAATTTCTCAAACATTTTATCATATTTTTAAATTACTCACATTTTTTTATCGTTTATTTCATGCTGGCGAAATAAATTTGTTAAGTAATACTGTCTTTTTTTGATACCTTCAAAAATATATTGAATTAATCACAATGTTATTATTTTATTAAACGGGATTTTAGTCATTCCAATTGCTAATTGAATTGTTAATTTATTGCTAGTTCAGCAATATGAATGTCACTATTGAGTGATTTTGAAAAATAATTTTACTTTTCTTCAAAAACTCGGGAATATTAAGCTTTGTTAATTCCAGAATTCAATTTTTGAATAGTAACAAATTAAAATGGTTGTTCAAGCAACGTCAGGACGAGGTTTAGGATGGATTGTTGCAGCTTTCTTTATTGTTGCTGACATGGTTGGCGGTGGAATTGTTGCAATGCCTGTTGCATTTCTTGAAACTGGTAAATCATTCAAAATATTTCATAATATTCAATTTTCATTTTCTATCTTTAACCTTTGCTAATTATTTTTGCCAAAACATTCCATCTTTTCTTATTCTTTTCTTTTTTCTTTTTTGAAATCATTGATTTAGAAACAAAAGCTAAGGCTTGTAAAGAAACCATAAGCTTGAAAAGTTGTACCATTGATAAGCTTTTTTTAGAAGCCAATTTGTGGTTACATCCAATGTGCATAGCAATAACATACATCAAATGATAACTTTGATAAGTATTGTTAACTTTAAATAATTATTCTGATTTTTCCCATAATAATCACATTAGAATGTTCGAAGATTTGAATAATTTTTTCATAATAATTTCATTAGATCATTGGGAAAAAGGAAATAATTTGCATTTAAGGTTGAATAAGCTTTAGAATAACATATAGCTTCAGGTGATATAATTAACAATTGAATTTCAAATCTATATCATATTTTAATTTGAACAGCTTTAAACTAATACTTTTGCAATGGAAATAGCTTTTTACTTTGCGCAGTCAACAATGAATTTAAATTTAACATTAATAAAAACAAAACGAAAAAAAATTAATCAGACATTTAAAAATTTTTTATTGTAGGACTTACGGTTGGTATTACATTTATGGTTGTAATAACAATATTTTTCGCATATACGGCTTATTTACTTAGCCAGAATTGGATCATTATGCAACAGCGATGGCCGGTTTATCAAAATCATTGTCGTAAACCATATCCTGAAATGGCAATGAGAAGTATGGGAAAAACAATGAAGTAATGATTTTAAAAAATTAAAATTTCCACTCAATTTCTTCCCCTAACTATCTTTTTTATTATTATCAATATTACCATTCATCTTCAATGTATTTGCACCACTATTTGTCATAATTATTATTATTATTATTAATATTATTATTATTATTACTATTGTTATTGTTATCATTATTATTATTATTATTATTATTATTATTATTATTATTATTATTATTATTATTATTATTATTATTA